AATTAAGAGGTCCGAAGATATATTTAAAAGGCTATGAGTATGATCTATGTTGGCTAATAGTTGAAAGGGATGTGTAGCACGATGTCACACCATCGACTACACCAACTCACTGTATCGCATCAATTACCAATACATGATGTAGAACAAGGTTAGGCTAGGGAAGGAACAATACATTTAATATGAATAAAAGATATAAGGTAACATTCAATAGGGACCACGCCTGCATGGGCGAGCCATGCCATCCGATCAACTCCAATTCATTCTTCCCTCCTTTTCCATCGTTAGGCATTTCTCCGCGTTAACAATTGAATATATATATTCCGAGTAGTCTTGTGTTCAGCTTTGAAGATTGTGTGGTTATGGTTCAATACCACTAAAGACTAACCAGAAATAGATCATAGGCGATAAAAACAGCTCTTAAAGCAATTTGGGAGCATTAGTTGTGAGAGAAGATAGGCTTCAGTAACAGACAAAGCTTATGGACAAATTTTCCTCCAATCCTAAAAGCTTATTCCGTTATGCAGCCTCTCTTCGTCAAACCAAAACTGGAGTTTCTCAACTGGTTGGTCTTAACGGCCCGACCAACAACGATGGCGACGCCGCTAACCTTCTGGCTGAACATTACTCCCAGACATTTCAACCGACCGACATTAACTTTACTGATGACAGTTTCGTTTGCAATTCCACGGAACTTTCCGAAGCGAACCTAAGCGCTGACTTGGTGTTCCGGAAACTGCAGCACTTAAGATTAGACACTTCTCCTGGCCCGGATATGGTCCATTCCGCCGTATTGAGGGAAGCAGCCTCAATCTTGGCAACGCCGCTTAGCGTGATGGTCTCACACCCGCTAAGTCGAGGAAAACTACCGGAAATTGGAGGCTGGCTCACATCACACCAATTTTCAAAGGAGGTCGACGCAGCGAACCTTCAAGTTACCGACCGGTGGCTCTTCTCTCCATACCTTCAAAAATCATGGAGTCCCTGATATGCGATGGTATAAATGACTGTTTACTGTCCTTACATTTCTTCTCACCCCAACAGCATGGTTTCAGGAAGGGTTGCTGTTGTATTACCAACCTGCTGACTGCGGTGGACAGATGGACAAGCATCCTCGATCGCAAGGCAAGGTTGATATCATTTACCTTCTTTTCTCAAAAGCTTTTGATAAGGTTAACCACTTTTGTCTTATCAATAAGCTCAAACGAATAGGTATCAAACCACCTCTAATCGATTGGCTTACTTCATACCTAAAAAATCGACACTTTAAGGTTAGGGTTAATTTCACTTTATCTCAGGCTATAGAATGTCCTAGTGTGGTCCCCCAGGGCTCAGTACTAGGAACTCTTCTCTTCTTGATCTACATAAATGATCTTCCTCAACAGGTAACGTCAGACTTATTACTTTTTGCCGACGACGTGAAACTTTGGAGAGAGATACGCAACCAAGACGATATACAGGCACTTCAGGAGGATCTGACTCGACTTCAAAGTTGGGCAGACGATAACGGACTTACCTTTAACACTTCAAAGTGTAAAGTAGTCCATCTGCGACATGTTGCAAACTACAATTACAACTTAGGAAACTCCTCTCTAATAGTATCCCAAGTCGAAAGAGATTTAGGAGTCCTGGTGCCCCATGATATAAAGTCTTACGCTAACTGTGACAAAAATGCCTTCCGAGCAAACCTTGCACTGGTAACGTTGAAGCGCATTTTTGGACAGTTTGACGGACGAACTTTCCATACAATCTTCAATAGTTTCATCCGTCCCCATTTAGAGTACGGAAACATAGTATCCCCTCCCTTACTCCAAAAGGACAAGGTCACCTTGGAGCGTATCCAACGGCGAGCCAGGAAATCAGTTCGAGGATTCAAATCTAAACCTTACGAAGAACGCCTCCATTCACTAGACCTTTACCCATTAGAATATAGGCGTCTTAGAGGTGATTTATTAATGGCTTATAGTATTCTTAACACTTATGGACATCCTCTCAAACACGTACTTAAGCTTAGTTCGAATAATAACCTAAGAGGTAACACCCAGAAACTGGAAACACAACATAGCAAGACGGAATGTAGACACAACTTCTACTCCTTAAGAGTTGTCAAAAGCTGGAATTCGCTGCCAGCCGAGCAAGTCCAAGCGACTTCCCAGGAGTCATTCAGGAGGCAACTTGACCTATTCTTAAGGACCAAGGACAGCATCACACTATGATTTACTAATTTCTTTTCCTCTTTTATTGTTAACATACCTAGGTTCCTGCCTGGAGGATTTGGTGATCCCCTGCTACCAGACACGGAAGCCTGTTAAGCGAAAGCTTCTTCCATTCCGTCCACAACCAGAGAACACAAAAGCGCAAAGGAGGGGGAGTAGCTCTATTCATTAGGAATGCTATCCCATTTACCATTATCGATAGTGTATCCCATGAGAGTGGGACGTGTGAATTAGTTAGTCTTCGCTTAAAATGCAAGGGACAAGAGCTGCTGATTGGTTTGGTCTATCGCAGTCCAAGCTGTGAGGCAAATGAGATCCTGTTAAGCAGTCTCAATACTTGGTCCCAAAGTGGTCGATGTCTAATCCTAGGGGACTTTAATGCACCTATGGTAGACTGGGAAAATCTGCGAACTGAATCGTCAGAAAATTCCTTCGAGCAGGAACTAGTTGATGCGGTTATCACATGTGCCCTAGTGCAACATGTGAAAGAAGCGACTAGGTACGACCCGGACACTGAATCATCCTTATTAGATCTTATACTGACTCACTATGAGGATGATGTTGCGAACCTCCACCATATGCCACCCTTAGGTAAAAGTGACCACGCAGTTTTAACTTTCGACTTCCATATAACTGCCAGTCATGAGGACGCGTCAGTCCAGTCCAGACCCAACGTCTGGAAAGCAAACATACCAGACATCATGCACTCAGCATCGTTAATAGATTGGACAATAGACCCAGAGTCCTCCATTGAAACGGCCTGGGACGCATTTCGAAAATCATACTTAAAAGTTACCACACCTCACATCCCTTGGACTATACCAAAGGGGCCGAAAAACTCACCACCATGGTTCAGTAGGGAGGTCCGTATCCTTCTCCGTAAGAAAAGGAAAACGTGGGATAGATTTAGGTTACTGGGGACTGATGAGTCAAAATCTCAGTATCGAAAGGCTCGGAACACTTGTGCCTCGACCCTCCGTAAGTCTAGAAAATTGTACGAAGAAAAACTTGTTAAGGAATCCATAGAATGTCCTAAACGCTTGTATTCCTATATAAACCAAAGGACAAGGAGAAAAGGAAATATTCCTGCTCTATGGGGAGACAGTACTGCTTCATCATTAGTGGAGGACGACTTTGGTAAGGCTCAAGCGTTCTCGAACTACTTTAGCAACGTGTATACCATAGAAGCACCCTTCTCGTCAGCGTATACAGATCCCCCCATACATACACTGGATAGCGTGACCATTAAAGAACTCGATGTCTTTGGTCTGCTAAATAAGCTTGACATAGGTAAATCCACGGGGCCCGATGAATTACATCCTAGGCTACTGAAGGAATTATCTAACTTCGTTGCGAACCCTTTAAGTACATGCTTTAACCTATCCGTTACGCAGGGTCGCTTACCGAAAGATTGGAAAAACGCCATAGTAAGTCCTGTCTTCAAAACAGGCACGAAACACAAACCTGAGAACTACCGCCCCGTTAGCCTAACTAGTGTGGTTGTTAAAATATTAGAAAAGATTATTCGGAAGGAGCTGTTTAAGTATCTCGATAAAAACCGGATCCTCTCGGAGAAGCAGCATGGCTTCAGAATAGGTTATTCTTGTCTCACTAACTTATTAGTGGCTCGTGAAAGCTGGTGTGCTCTTAAGGACCAAAAGCTACCTGTAGACGTCGCCTTCATTGATTTCAGTAAAGCTTTTGATAAAGTTCCGCACAACCGGCTGTTATATAAGTTAAGACATATCGGGATTGGAGGTAATTTATTGATGTGGATAAAAGACTTCTTAGTTGGGCGTCAACAAAGAGTAAGGGTGAACTCAAAGTTATCTAGCTGGGAAACTGTGCTTAGCGGAGTGCCCCAGGGTACAGTTTTGGGGCCAGTGCTATTCCTCTTGTATGTAAATGACCTTCCTTGTCTCCTATCATCATCGGTCTTGCTATATGCTGACGATGTCAAGATATGGAGAACGATACGATGTAAGAGTGATAGCTTAGAACTTCAAAATGACCTGAAGAAGTTATCTGAATGGTCTCAAACATGGCAGTTGCCGATAAATACTTCCAAGTGTGTTGTGATGCATATCGGTCATCAAGGCACAGATACATACACGATGAATAACACTGAGCTACCTGTCGTCCAGACATATAATGACTTAGGAGTTATCGTTAGTCAAGACTTAAAGACTACTGCACACTGCCGTGCAATAGCCGCCAAAAGTTTTAGAACGTTATGGTCAATACGTAGGGCTTTTAGTCATGTCGACACTAAGACGTTTTTGACTTTGTATACAGTGTTCGTTCGTCCTAAACTTGAGTACTGCATACAGGCGGCTAGCCCCTGCTTAAAAAAGACAGTGAGCTTCTGGAAAAGGTTCAGAGAACGGCGACTAAGCTGGTTCCCGCAATAGCGAAGCTTCCGTATGAATCTCGACTGGCCAAGCTGAACCTTTTCCCGTTGTCATATCGCAGAACTAGAGGCGACTTGATTACAGTCTACAAATTGCTTAGTGATAAATTTGCACCTAACATGCCCTCATTTTTCTTGTCTTCCAAAACAGAGAATTTACGAGGACACTCCAAAAAAGTTCATAAGCCGAGAACAAATTACTTGTCAGCTGACTATCGACTTTCCCATCGAATCATCAACGAGTGGAATTCACTACCTCAGCACGTCGTTGAGGCTCCATCCGTCGACTCTTTCAAAAGAAAGTTGGATCAACTGAGAGACCACCATTGCCAGGACTAACATAGGCCATCGAGCCTCCTGTCCTTCCCAAACTGAAACTGAAACTGATTTAGGGCGGACGGCTTGTAAGGGTGCGTTACTTTCTCTCGTGGACCCAAGCTTAATGAGGTAGTTTTATGTACTCCCTATCTTTCTATCCTTATTCATTCATATTTAATTACCATTAAGTACGATAATTCGAGAAATTATTTGTCACTCGCGTTGTATGATGACTTTATTTATTAAGGGTTAATTGAGTAAGAACTTGTTCGTGGTGAAACATGAGATAACTTATTTAAGGACATCATTAGTTAGTTTTGAGTGAAACAATGCGTTATTAAGTTTTTTAAGTCACGCGACTTTGTAGTGTAAATAATTGACGTAGTTGGAGGCTTTTCGATACAAAATATATATTGTTTTCTCTATCTCTGAAATAAAGGGGTATTAAAACAAAATAATTGTGAAAAACTTCCCAAAATCAATGGGGGCGCCAAGAAATTTCGCCTGATTAGAAGATTAACTTAAGTGGTTATTTTTATTTTCGGAATATTTCCTACTGTATGTTTCACTGCCATCCTTTTTATTTCGGTTTTACATAATTACCCAGATCATAAACTAGGTATCTTCAGTCAGAAAGGATTCGTGGCGATTCCTAGACTGGTCCCCCGTTTCAATTTGTTTTGATGCGTATGATGATGCTAAACCGTATGATTTAGTTTAAAGCATTTAACTTGAGGGTTCAACCATTTAAACAGTGCAGCAACGTCAGAGAATGCATCCCCATACTAACCAGTCCCTGAGCATTTTTACACACTATTTGGTACTTCAACATCTTATGACCCGTGTGCTACACTGGTTTTTAATCAAAATTTTACTATTAATTGCACCTTTGTGTTCACTAAATTGGCCTACGTATTATTAATTTTGCAACGTAACACTTCTGTAAGCACTTATTGGCTCGTGGCTTTACGAGGAGTTTTTCAAAAGCAAGATCTTTTCCACCTTTTAGGACTAAAAGGTTATTGGTATGAGTTGTAAATAATAAGAACGATTAAACTCATTGACCAAGTATGTGTTTATAAAATCTAATCTCAGCCACTCTGTTTAAAGTAATAATGATATCACCCAACTGCTTAAAAAACAGTAAGCTGAGTAGGGTTCTAATCTATGTATACAGATAAATGTCTGTCACTCACTACCATATCACTGCTTCATAAGTTTTAGAGATATGTAAAGCATTAAGTCGGGTTCCTAAGTAGCAGGAAATGATCTGAACTCTAGGTATTGTATATTGTACTTCAGTGGTATCTAATATAGTTTCATCTGATTTAACCTACCTGAAACTTTAGTGTTGAGTGAAGTATCATAAAGTTTGTTTTCCGAATGTCGTAATGTATTGTTTTATTATTGGTAAACATTGCACATAAAAGCATTGCAAATGAAGAATTTTCAGTGTTTTAAATAACCGTTTCTTTCTATAAATCTACATTAGCTATACTAGCATTCAGTTACCACTTACTGGAGTGGAAAATGCTCTCAACCACTTAATGCCTATCGATTCTACTGTTAACACCGTCGAAACTAGTGACCAGTTAAACGAATCTTCGTTTATACAACTAACAGATAGTGATGGCAACGAAGTTGGGACACCAATATGGATTCCTTTAGACGTCGACAGAGGCAAACTCACAGATTTACTAAGTAGTCTTCTTCAAAGAGTGAGCAAACTATTCTTACTATCTTCACTATTATTTGTTTACAAAAGCTTGTTTACACAGACAGACGCTTCAGCACAATCCGAAAGATTCATGTCTGTTTGTCAAGATTGAAAGAGTAAACGACATCAATAGAGGGATTTAATTACCTACCAGTTGATTTATATCTTGTTGGGAGTATTTCATATCTAAGTCACAACAATTAGTTTGTTAGGTAAAGTGATTATATTGTCGCTGATGACATGAGCAATCAAACTGACTGGTTTTAGATTTCACACAGTATTGGATTCGACTGAAATTCGACTAGTCTTGATTGGCACATGTGCGTGTTTTGCAAATGGCCTAGATATAAGTATTATGATACAAGTTAGTGTAGGATATGTGGAATTTGGCTAGCAGTGGAATATAGGACGTGTGTTTCGTCCTATTCGGTACACCCAAGTAGCGATTGTCATAATGATTATATCGCGGTAATCCGCAGAGGATGCATATGTCGACCAATACTGATCGAACTTGAGTAAAATCATCAACAGGATAATCCAATTCATTTAAAACTCATACCCATTACACTAGTGACTGACTATCTGAACTTAGTAGCTAATTGGATAACGCGATGTTTAAAGCGAACGATACTAGATTCGAGTCCCGGAGTAAACATCGACTATGGGATACAGGTAAATACAGCCGATGAGTCCCAAATAATACAAAACACACCTGAATTCCACTGCTAGTCACATTTTATTTGTTTTATACTTTTTCACTAACCATGGGTTTGTGCCTCTTTTATTCCACTCTGACTGGTCATATTACAACCTATGTGTACTGCCTATCTAAATTTGTAGCACTTGTTGCAGGCATCACAGTTAGTACGAATCTTCAGAAGGTCTTGCTCAAAAGTCAATACTGAATTTCGAAATTGCTCTGTTAGCGTTTCTACAACATGCTATATTTCCAAGAATAACAAAATGATATAATAGAGAAACTTGTTATCCGGTTTGGGTTCTGTGGAATTCTGAGGGACTTAATACTGAGTGACTATTGGTTTGTTACATAGGCTCCCGAGCTTCTGCAGGCATAGCTAAATTCGAGTCCCTGATCGAGGGAATAAAGTTAAATTGTCCCAACCAATTCCAAAAATACCTAAAATAGGATGACAACAGTTGTATGTTGTCTACCTTGGCCCGGTGTGTCTCACAGGTCACTGTCTCCTGTCTAGTAAACCGTACGGAGCGAAGTGGCTTTGTTGCGCGCATTAAATTTATAAAATAGAAGTGGGACAGATTCATTCACTACTTATCTTCCTTTGACTCCTAAATTTCGGAAGTATCTTATAGATTTTTTTATTCAACGGATTTTTCTTGTTGAATCATATCTCCGATGCCTAATTTATCCTGTTACATAGTAATGTTACTACCCCTATTGATTTGAAATTCGCCCTGGCCATTTCGTCTCGCTACGCTGTGGCAATTTGAAACGATGCGTACATGTACCAGATTCTACGTTGCATATGACCAACTGTTTAAGTAGAAGTGGATAAAATTTAAATAAAAACTAAAGTTTAAAATGCAGAATGTTAGATGACTATCATCATAAATAGAAAGCAATAGTCTAATGTCCCTTAATGTAATAGCGAGAAAAAACATTTTAAAATAGACCATTAGCATTTTCGATTATCTTTTCAGTAGTTTTGCGTCGTATAATAGGATATTTAAGCCTCATAGTTGCCTACAAGATTTCAAGGAAGGTTAATCAGTTGATAGTGTTTGAAATAAACACTGAACCGCATTAAATATAAGCTATAAATATAGTTTGTAGCGGTCTCGTTACAAATGATCACTTTCACTTTTGAGATGGCAAGGTCCCTACATTCTCAAAAACTATTTCTTGAGATAAAAGTAACTGTTAAATTCCACGTTTTGTTGCTTAATAACATTTCATCAGTATACTTGTATATCAAACTATGCCCAAGTCTTGTTACTTAAAAGAGATTCTTTCTAATTCAAAGGAAGATGTACATTCCTTGACGTATGACTTTTTTGTGGGCGATGTTCAAATTTTGGATGATTTAAAAACAGCTTTAATTCAAGCACGGGCCAAAGGCACTGACCCTTCTTTACCGAAATTTGGATCAAATGGTCTTGAAGCTGTAGTCAAAGTCACGTATCAGGCTAATGCTGTTTTTCGAGTTCGCCCAGTTACTCGTTGTTCAAGTAGTATACCAGGTCATAAGGGTGCAGTTCTGGTTGCACAATTTTCACCAGACGGAAGGTAATTGCAAATTTTATCAATATTATTGACGTTTTTAACGATCATTTTCTTGCTTGTCCTAAGATAAACTTTTCTGTCTATAATCTCTGTAATTAACTTTGCGCTCGATGTCTTAACTTGAGATATACAAGCGAAATATTCCTTTTATTTGTCTAACTGTTAAGAATTAAGATAGAAAACGATACATCTGAAAGATTGGAGTAGTAACTCTCAGAGCCAATATACGGATTATTATTATGTATATTATTATTGTACAACTGTTGAGCAACCAGATTACTGTCTCTGTATTCACTTTATCCCAAAGTTTCAGTTAACCCATTAACTTATGTCACTATTCCCAGTTTGTTGCCCCGAAGTGCCATGGTGCGGCCGAAGGTGGTGAGAGTCCGCTCTCTCGAAATCACTTCATATGGCCACTGGCATGGAGGTCCTACTCATCGCCTTATTGTGGCGGCGTTGTTTACGAAATTAAGAGGATGAAAAGCGAATGTTCGGCGCTTAAACCGATTTGGTGGGTACGAAGGATCCACGTAAAGGAGTTGGGGAACCTTGGTTCCAAACCAATGGTGCACAAGGGCCCCAGGACCCTGAAGGAACAAATGGCGTATAAACCTATTGTTGGTCACTGGCTACCATGGGATTACATCTCCACTACCTTTTGAATTAGACCTCTAGGTCAAAGCCTTGGGGATTGATCGATCGGATCCCCATTAACAGTCGGCTATGTGCTGTTAGATTAGAAATTTCCATCGAAGTGAGAAGAAATCGGTGTGAGAAACAATGTATTTTCGCCATCTGCTCCTATGTCCCGACAGATTGCAGTCTGGATGCGATCAAGGATGAATTCTACCACCAGCTAACAGTTCTTCTACAGGAAGTGCGTTCGACAGATATTGTGGTACTAGCCGGAGACTTGAATGCTCAGGTCGGGCGTCTAGGCACAGAAGAGAACCGTTTAGGTGGCCGATGGGGACTTGTTGGTCGCAGGACAGATAACGGGGACCGTCTCCTGAAACTGTGCACAGACCACAACCTGCTTCTGGTTAGCACTAACCACTGACACAGTCATCGTCTATGTGCTACCTGGCGTCCTACCTCCACATCTCAAGCCTGGACTCAGATTGGTCACATCGCGACCAGCTACCGCTGGTGTGGTTGTGTACAAGACTGTCTCTACTTTTAGAGTACAAATCTGAAATCTGATCATCCTCTTGTTTACGCTAATCTTACCTTACGTTTCAATGGCCAACAGATTCGTCATAAAGGGATCGATGTCTGTAAACTGGTTACAGCTTCTGTTGCAACTAAGTATCAAACCGAGCTAGGTTAAAGGTTCACTACCAGCCCACCGAAAAGTATAGATGAGCATTGGTTGCAATTGCATGACGCCATGAAAATGGGGAGTAAAGTCGCTTATAGCTTCGCGAAACGTCCCGCTTATAAGCACTGCATTTCTTCAGGCTTCTTACAACTCATTGAGACCCATTGGTCCACTCTGGGTGACCACAAACGAAGACTGTTGCACGATGAAACTGCAAAGCTTGTGTAAGGACCAAGAAGCCTGGTGATCTGAGTGTGCCGATGATTTGGAAGTAGCAGCCGCATCTGGTAACTACCGGGAGCTCTTCCAGCTCATCCGAATCACTGTTAACAAGAAGTCTGGTGTGAGTGAAACAATCTGTGAAGCTGACGAGATGCCAATCACTAACATCTAACAACGTTTTGGACAATGGGAAGAGTTTTTTGAGGCCCCGATCGAAGCTGCTACCTTGACGCGGTGGTCGGGCTTGCCTATCGTGATGACCCAACCGAGCTATATTGGCTGGAACATATGTTCCTGTAGGTTCTACCATGCCAGGCAGGTCGATTGGTGAACGGTAAGACTAAAAGCAGCAACTCAAGGTCTGAGGGCGAAGTCGTACTGCTGACTGTAGAGGGGTGTGACAGCAGTAAGGTGTTTCCTTCGGACAACCAGCATGACAGCGATGCTGCCTTCCCACAAGGAGGGGTGGGGTTAGAAAAGGTCGACCCTAAAAATGTCACACCTCACCTTACCTCACGGATTTCCGTCTCCGGCGGTAAGGCCCTTTGAAGAACGGAGCTAACACGTCAAAAACCTTCCACAAAAAGGCCGTGCGCGACCGGCCTCAAGCAGTTGTCCCTTGGGCTCTGCGGTCACGCTCCCAGGTCGTCAAGACCAACACTAATCCAATTTCCTTTTCAGGTTCCTCAAGAAATACCCTTCCACGGTGTGGGCAGCCGGGAAGTGACATCAGCCCTCATACCCGTAACAGCACAAGAGACCAAGGTGGTCACATTCAAATCCTTCCTACACCTCCTAATACCTCTCTTATCTCCATGACTAACCCTCCTCACGTCTCTTTATCACCTCGCACCGCTAGGGCAAACGATTTGAGTACGTGGAACGCCATTCCTGGTCTCCTGAAACCACGCTCTAAACTACACGTAGGAGCTTTTAACGTACGAACACTTTGCCAAATAGGACAGCAGGCTTCCTTAGCTAAAACTTTAGAATCTCGCGCCATCGATGTGTGCTGCGTCTCCGAAACGCGCATACAGGATCCGAGTAGCGTCATTCATTTGACCTCACCATGCCAAAATAAAGAACCGACTCGATTTACGCTTCGTGTATCTGGAAGCCCTGATTCTGCTTCCCGTGGCCTCGCCGGCGTAGGTATAGCATTGAGTCCTAGGGCAGAACTAGCTCTCTTAGAGTGGATCCCAGTAGACAGTCGTTTGTGCGCTGTCCGACTGAACGGAACAGTAAGAATCCGGAAAGATAGGGACACTCGTCGTTGCCTCTTCGTCGTCTCTGCCTATTCTCCCACTGACTGCAGCTCAGATGATGTAAAAGATGAGTTTTACAGAAAGCTTTCGGACCTTCTCCGAAAAGCTAAGCGCTCGGATGTAGTAATAGTGGCCGGTGACTTTAATGCTCAAGTAGGTAAACTTAGCGATAGGGAAAGACACCTAGGTGGATCTTATGGTGTCGTGGCTCAAAGAACAGATAATGGCGACCGTCTGTTGCAGCTATGCTCAGATAACCGCCTGTTCCTTGCAAATACTAACTTTAAGCATAAGGAAAAACATCTTTTAACATGGCGACCCCCGAATTCGTCCCAACGTTGGACCCAAATAGATCACATCGCTATCAGCCACCGATGGAGGGGCTCGATAGAAGACTGTCGCTCATTCTGGAGCACATGCCTAGATTCAGATCATGCTCTAGTGCGAGCGCGTATTTGCTTGCGTCTTACTGGACGTAGGAAAGACGCTGCAAGGAAACCTCTTAGGGCCTACTTAATGATAGTCAAGCTAAGAGTATATTTCAGGAACAACTAGGAAAACAGTTAGGCAGCCATGTATGTGATGCCCACCCCGATGCAGCATGGAATGATATCCGAAAAGCTGTGGAAACAGCAGTGATATCTGCTAGTAAGGTAAACCAGAAGGTTAGGGAGCAACACTGGATCTCAGCAGCATCTATCGCACTGATAGATGCTCGGAAACTCATTCCACCCGGCTCTGAACATAATGAAGAGCGGAGTCAGCTTAAGCGCAAGCTGACAAGAAGTCTACGCAATGATCGTGAACAGTGGTGGGTAGCGAAAGCAAGAGAGATGGAAAAGGCAGCGGCAATAGGTAATAGCAGACAATTGTTCAGACTCGTTAAGGAAACCGGAATTAGGAACCCGACTGTTAGCGAAACAATCTCAGAAAAAGATGGACATATTATACATTCTCAATCCAGGAGATTGGATCGATGGGCAGAACACTTTAGGGATCAGTTCAACTGGCCTTCAGCCACACTTCAGTGGAAGTGGAAGTAATCCCATCTGAATGGTCTCAATCACTGATTGTGCCAGTCTATAAGAAAGGACAAAAGTCCTCTTGTGACAATCACAGAGGAATCAGTTTGACTAATATAGTGTCTAAAATATTAGCTTCAATAATACTTCGACGCCTAATCAAAGCTCGTGAAGAGCAGATTAGAGAAAACCAGGCCGGTTTTCGACCTGGACGTGGTTGTATAGATCAGATATTCACACTACGCCAGGTTCTAGAACACAGACACACGTTCAGACGTCCCACAATCGTAGTACTTCTCGACCTTAAGGCGGCATTCGACTCTGTTGATCGTGAAGTTCTATGGCAGTGTTTGTCACTGAAAGGAGTACCAAAGAAGTACATTAACCTTATAAAGGCTCTCTACTCGAACACAACCGGTAGAGTGAGAGGTTATGGCGAACTGTCATCAGAATTGATTACCTCAAGTGGTGTTCGTCAGGGCTGTCCACTCTCCCCATTCCTGTTCAACTTTGTGGTCGACGTACTTTTAGAGATAACACTCTCCTCATCTAAATTTACAGGGGTTGAACTTCTACCGGGAGGTTTACTTGTTGACTTAGAATATGCTGATGACATCGTTTATTTGGTGAAGACGCTGACAAAATGCAGAGTCTTCTGACCACTCTAAGCAACAATGCAGATATGTTCGGGATGTGATTCTCCCCCTCGAAATGCAAAATGTTGCTTCAGGATTGGGTTACATCGACACCCGAACTAGTGATAGGGAGTGAGGTAGTTGAGTGTGTCGACCGCTTCACTTATCTTGGAAGTCTCATCAGCCCTTGTGGTTTAGTGTGTGACGAAATCTCAGCACGGATACAGAAGGCTCGACTAGCTTTTGCTAACTTGCGTCATTTATGGCGTAGGCGAGATATCCGTCTATCAACCAAAGGACGGGTTTACTGCGCAGCAGTTCGTTCCGTCCTACTCTATGGCAGTGAAACATGGCCGGTAAGAGTAGAGGATATTCGTAGGTTACTAGTATTTGATCATAGGTGTCTTCGAAATATTGCTCGTATATCGTGGGACCATCGAGTAAGTAATGCAGTTGTTAGGAAACGGGTACTAGGTAAGGATGGCAAATCAATTGATGAAGTAGTGAAACTTCATCAGTTGAGATGGTTGGGACACGTGTTACGTATGCCCAACGGCCGACTGCCTCGACGTGCTATGTTCAGTGGTATAGGAGTAGGTTGGAAGAAAGCTAGGGGCGGCCAAACCAAAACATGGCACAAGTCCATGAAGTCACTGACAAGTGGACTGAGTCATATTGGTAGGTGTAGACTACCTGGTTGGGGACCGCGAGATGATAGCCACCGATGGTTAGAGACCCTGAATGACATGGCTCAAAATCGTTTGCAATGGCGCAGGTGCATCCACTCTCTGTGTTCTCCCAAATTCTAATCTTCTAAATCCTTCATGCCCCTTTTTTCCTCTTTCCAAATTTATTTCACTGAATTATACTCTTTAAATAACATCTCCAAACCCTAATCTTCCCGATTACTGCTTATACTCTTGCTACCTCTACCACTACGGGATTTGAATAGACAACTGCATCTCTGTGCTAATGTGGTGTGGCAACTCGAACTGATGTACATATGTACGAAGTTCTACGTTGTTACTGACTGACTGACTGACTGACTTTTTGAGGAACGGTGTAACCGGTCTGCTGTTCCGATAATATCGATCAGACTGTCCTGCAATCCATGGCGCGTGACGATAGCCTAATAATTCCAACTTCTGAAGCACCACAAATCACCGGGCCCAGATGACTTACCTCAGGCCCCTTTTAAAAATGGTGGCGACTTTCTGGTTATGGGACTGAATGAGTTATTTACAGAGGTCTGGCAATTATCGTGTTCCAACATCATGGAATGAGTCGATAATTGTTCCTATCTTTAAAAAGGGTTCACTTCGTTTCCGCAACAAGTATCGGGAGTTGTCTACTTCCTATTGCATTCAAACTACTGGCTTCCGTCATACTTCGTAGATTGTTCAAAACCCGAGAAAGATGGGCTCGCAAGGAGCAGGCTGGTTTTCGTCCTGGTCGAGGATGTAATAATCATATCTTCACCCTCCGCCAAATGTTAGAACACCGTCATACTTATCACATGCCAACGATCGCAGTGTTTCTTGACATTAGGGCCGTCTTCGATTCGTTGAACAATATTGTTTGAGAATTTCTATTGAAGAAGGGTGTACCTGGAAAGTTTATTCACATCTAAAAGGCCCTATATACAAACACCTGAGGTAGAGTGAGGGCATACAACCACTTTTCTCCATTGTTACATTCAAGCAGTGGGGTTAGACAGGGTTGTCCACTCTCACCATACCTCTTCAACTTTGCTCTCGATGACATTCTAGAAACAGCTCTGATGGATGTAAGTAATGGCGGTATGGATCTGTTGCCTGAAGAGACTTTTCGACCTGGAGTATGCGGATGATATTGTCTTACTGTGCGATAATTCCCAAGTCGTGCGATCCGCACTTGATCAGTTGACAAAGTGTCCGTTGTAGGATTTAATTTGTCCTACAGATATTCTACTGGGACTGTAAACGCGATACTGACGACCCAGAGTCTATGTGAAAGCTATAGTCAGAACAAGGACAACTCCGCTTTAAACTTTATCTGTTTCTAAACGTGAAAGCAACTCGATTAATACAATAATTCAAGGAATTATGATTATCTAGTGAAATACACAAACATACCGATCAGTACTGAGTGTCTTGTTGGAATGAATAAAAATTATAAGTCACACTAATGTAATAGAATAATAATAATATCCTTCAATTGGTAGGTCACATGCAACAGGGGTAGTCTACCGACACATCAGATCAGTTGTAACTCAGGTTAGTAATCCAGAGGTTTGACATCGTGTGTTCGGGCACAGCCATGATAATTCGGTTGGTTTCACTATCTTCAAACATCAACATTGGTCTCTTGGTCTACTATGAATGTCTTCCCATAGAATTTCACATTGTTAATTATTTTCCGACACTGAGACCGGTTTGAAAAAGCGAAGTGGTCAGTGTATGACATGGTGTCGTGGTATGAAAGAAAGCTGCAAAGGGCCGGCTTGTGTTGGCCCTTCACGACTCCCTGGTCGGTGCCATAGAGGTGGTCCAACACAGCGACTAGAGACGTTATCAAATATATCTCAGAATAGAAGCCAGTGGCTATCCTGCTGTAACTTTCTTTTACTTTCTTCATAAAAGCGAACGTAAATTCTTTAACTGAAGGAATTTTTTCTGCCTGTATCTTTGTTAACTGAACTGTCTCTTTATTATTATTATTATTATTATTATTATTATTATTATTGCACTCTCACACACTAATTTTCGTTCGTCGTTTTCCATTTTTATTACACACACTTTACATTCTCTACCTCTTCGGAACTTCATTGTTATTGTGTGGTGCATACATATTTGGTGCCCCCTTGTGCCACTGTTTATGTGTTCAAATAAATAAATCAAGATTATTGACATTGGTCTTCCTTTTGTACACCATCTTTTGTTCCCTAAACAAAGCCTATTTATTTTATTTATCTATTTTAACACATAGATATTGGTACAAGGAGGCACTAAATGCATATGCGCCACGCAGATCTCATTTGATATGTGTGAAGACTGTGATACTCCTCGGGTGCCCAAACCGAAGCGGGTGGTTTTCTTAGGGGGCCACACCCGGAGTCTTCGACCTGAAGGTCTGATCCAAAAGGCAGTGGAGCATCGTGAGGAGATGCAGTCCCATGGTAGCCGGTGACCAATAATTGGTCCATACGCCATTTGTTCCTTCAGGATCCTGGAGCCCATATGCACCATTGGTTTGGAGTCAGGGTTTTCCAACCCCCCTAGATGGACTTTCTGTATCCATCAACCCGGTTAAAGCGCCGGACATTCGCTTTTCGTCCTCTCAATTTCGTAAACAACACTCGTGGTGCAAGAAGGCAGTGAGTAGGACTTCCCTTGCAGAGGCTATATACGCGTCGTTATGTGAGAGCATTTCGAGAGGGAGAGCGAACTCTCCCCACTCTCAGCCGTAGCAGGATAGAGAGAGATTTTATTTAAAGGTAGTTTTCGAAACTACAAATTAATTTGGAGAAAACTTTGAACTACAAACACTAAGTCTAGTATTTCGCTCTCACTCATGTACTGACTATCATCAATGTGGAAGTAGCTTAATAGCTGAAGCACTTTATCTTATTTTAAGTTCCATCTCAATTCCATATAAAATTGGTGGGAAAACCAGGTATTATAAATAACTCTTACTCGAAGGCGAAACTGAGAATCGAGTACATCAGTATGTAATTTTTTAATAAGTTACACTTACTAGTTATTGCGGAATAGTAGGGTTATTGCGTTAGCTTCTTTGTTAGAAAGCCATTACATGTGTCCTTGGCTGTGTGTTTAACCGTTCTTACTTTTACCATTATATTTGAGACAAAGCATCCGTATTGAGACCTGTTTCCACCCTTCATTTAGGTCTTATATTTAATAACTATGTAAGACAATCCTTAGGGACTGTTATTCTTGCTAATTGGGTTATTTTTTCGTGTATGTCCTAATTGATAATTCACAACACTGTTAAAAGTATACAAATGTACGCCTCATTTTAATCTCATTTTAGAAGTTTAGCTAGTGGCTCTGGAGATCAAACTGTTCGTTTCTGGGATCTCAACACTGAGTTACCTCTTAGTACAGGATCTGAAGTACACAAAGCTCCTGTTCTCTGTTTGGCTTGGTCTCCAGATGCAGTACGGTTGGCATCTGGCTGTCAAGGTGGTATGATTTGTTTGTGGCAACAAAAAGAAGCCGGAAATGATTGGGGTCTATGCTCAACCCATCCTTTAATTAAACCTCAATTAGCAGCCACTCCGGCTTGTTCTAAAGGTCGATGGATACGATCTTTATCGTGGAGACCATTACATCTGTAAGTCACTACCTGTTACGTGTTATTTAAATCTTTTTTTACACCGATCAAACACATGGTAATTTATGATCACAGGTCAAGTACACCGCTCAGCACCTCAATTTATATTACTTTGTGATTGTGGAAATGTTTTTTAGGGTAGAAGACTGGTAATGGTTGCTACTGTTATGTCGGCGGGGTTAAGATATAACTTAGAACTGGCGAAGAGAACGCAAGTCAGCAACACAACAAACGCGGATAAATACTACATGCTGTAGGAGTCTTCTGTATTGTTTGATCAATGCGTGGGCTGTCCAATTCGATCTGAAATTTCCGAGAGATAATGGTAATATCTGATGCCATATCTATCTGTAATCTAAATGAATGCCCATTAGTATTAAGTGTAATGAATTCTCTCTCTCCTGGGGTTCTCTGATAGGACGCTAATGGGCTCAACGAATTTGTGCAGGATTTGGAAGCAGGCTTTCTGATTTTTCTGAATCGACGTGGTGGTCGATTTGGTTTCCACCTTTGACAGAATCTATCATTGTAAACAATGGATTTACATTTCCTTCAGCGATGTCGTTTGGACGTATACGTTCGTGCAAAATGTCACGCACCATAGTGCCAGCAAGGAGTCGAAGGACTAGTCTTCGTCTCTTGAACTGAGATTGGGTAAGATGGGCTAGGTATAACAGGCTCGTATTTGGCAGGTTTGGATAGTTTTTGGAGTACATGTACTTCGGTGCAATCAGAACCACTAAATTGAACCACTGTAGTGTGTTGCTGAATATTAATTAGACGTTGATATTCACCTCAGATATCACAAAGAGTAATTTTCGTATCTGCAAACATCTGGATAAGTTTTAACTGCTGCTTCAATAATAGTTCCACTTTTACAGGATCCATTTTTTCACCAGCTTCGTCGCCATAACTATGTTTGAGGGATTAAGATATCATCTATGACCGGAAAATGGAAAGAAAGCCAGCAACACAACAGCCAGTATTTAATCATAGATTTTCTTAGAGCATTGTTGCCGTATGATTATGGTGAAATGCTTAGAGATGATATGTAGTTGGCGAAATTAGAGCAAACGCAATCGTGTTTTTAGTTTCAACCGAATAGTTCAATCCTCAATTTTTGAACTACATAGCCGAAGGTATATATTAATATTTATAAATAATAATCTCTTCATAGAGCCATCCTGTCAGTTTATTTCATATTAATATATTTTTCGTCTAGAGATGGAGAATGCAGACAACTTGCAGTTGCTTATCAAGATTGTTCAATAGTTATTTGGGATACATATACTGGTCAGCCAATTCATACAATTACTGGTCATGATAAACCAGTTGTGTCTGTACGTTGGGGTGGAACAGACCTAATTTATTCTGCTAGTCAAGACCGTACAATTCGTGTATGGAGATCTAAAGATGGCGTGTTATGTCGTACACTAAATTTGCATGGACATTGGGTAAATTGTTTGGCATTGAGTACTGATTATGTACTACGTACTGGTGCATTTGATCCTGCCTGTGCTCAGTTGGTCAAAACAGTTCCTGTATTATCAAAAGATCCAGAGGCGAGTAAGTATGTTATGACTTCCGACAATCTACGGAGTATTTTTCACTGTTATGTAAATTGAGATTTGTAATTTTTAGTGTAATTTAAATGATACTTTCTGAGAATTATACATTGGAACACACCTAAAGATAAAATACTACATGTGAACCATGGCGATGAACGACGACTACGAATTTTCCCCATCACTTTGGAAGCAATGTTATATGCATCTAACCAACCGTGTTACTGAAAACCAAGGAACAGTGGTACGTTAATGGAGTCAGCAAAGAAAGAGAACAGCAAAACTCGCGAACAAAAACGTATGGAGAAATAAGTACTTAGGTGTAAAAATACTTTTGTAGTTGAAAACTAGTTTTATAAGTCTAATCATTGACCCACTAGTTTAGTCTTGTGTAAAGTAACTTTAATAAGTTGCTGGTTACTAACCCAAGATTCTGACTTATACTTCTGGTACTTAGATGCTTAACACTGTCTGTTAGTCACTTCCTAGTTCCTCAGAAATTTACTTCCTAGTCCTGAACAGAAGACAAAAGGTGGAAGTATACAGGTGAAATCTAATTAGAAAAGTAGTTTAGATACACAAAACAAGGACATTTTTATGTTTATGCTTGGCGTTCATATCCTAGTAGCTTTTGGAAACATGCTGGACTTGGTAACAAAATTGTCGATTATCCAGTCAGGATATGACACAGTTATTATTTTCCAGAACTCTAATTGTATGAAGTATTTTCAGTCTTTTCCAAGCTTTTAAAAACTTTTCTGAAGAATTCTCGAGGCTCCGTAGCACTGGCTTTATAGGTTTTACAAACATATGATATACTCTATTAGGAATGAGAAACTGAACATTTTATGTGAATTGGCCAGAAGTAGAGTAAATTTATTTGTTCCTTATCCATCTCTATATTGTTGAGAACTTTGAAAATTTGAAGACGATGTACTTCTACATACGATTATGTCTTATTCGATTCGCATTTCGTCCATCCCGACTGTTGTTGCTACCCTGACGTGGTGGTCGGGCTTGTCTATCGTGATGAAGCAACCGAGCTATACTGGCTGGAACAACCGTTCCTCAAGGTCCTACCATGTCAGACAGGTCGGTTAAAGAGCGGTAAGACTCAAAGCAGCAACTCAAGGTCCGAGGGCGAAGTCGTACTGCTGACTGTAGAGGGGTGTGACATCAGTAAAGTGTTTCCTTCAGAAAACCAGCATGAGAGCGATGCTGCCTTCTCACAAGGAGCGGTGTGGTTAGAAAAGTCGACCCTAAAAATACACGCCTCTCCTTATCCCACTGATATCCGTCTCCGGAGATAAGGTCTCAACAAGTACGGAGCTGACACAAAAAATTACTCACAAGAAAGTCGTGTGTGACTGACCTCAAGCAGTTGTCCCTTTGGCACTGCGGTCACGCTCTCAGGTCACTTAGACCACCTCTAATCCAATTTCCTTTTCAGGTACCTCCAGAAGAACCCTTCCACGGTGTGGGCAACCGGGAAGTGATAACCGCCCTCATACCGCTAACAGCACTCAAGACCACTGTATTCATAATCAACCTCCTCTTCAATTCCTATTATTCCTCCTACATCGACTTTCAACTCTAAACTTCTTTCGGCTTCCTCCTCAAGTGTCACCATGGCCAACGATTCTAGTGCTCAAAACACTGTCCCAGGTCTACTGAAACCTCGCTCCAAACTACACATTGGAGCCTTCAACGTACGCACCCTATGTCAAATCGGTCAGCAGGCTTCCTTGGCTAAAACCCTAGAGTCTCTTTCCATTGATGTATGCTGTGTCTCCGAAACACGCATACAGGATCCAGTGTGGTCATTCACTTGACCTCACCTCGGCAGAACGGAGAGCCAACGAGATACACCCTCCGTGTATCTGGTGACCCGATGGCCAGTTCTCGTGGACTGGCAGGTGTAGGCATAGCACTAAGCATGAGGGCGGAACAAGCACTGCTAGAGTGGATCCCCGTCAACAGTCGTCTATGTGCTGTTCGGCTAAACGGCTCCGTAAGAACTCGGAAGGATAGGGACACACGTCGTTGCCTTTTTGTCGTTTCTGCCTACGCTCCCACTGACTGCAGCTCAGATGAAGTGAAAGATGAATTTTACAGAAAGCTAAACTTTCAGACATAGTACTCGTAGGGGGTGACTTTAATGCTCAGATAGGTAGTTTAAACCAAACAGAAAGGCATTTAGGTGGATATTTTAGCATTCCGGCACAGCGAACAGATAATGGTGATCGTCTGCTGCAACTGTGCTCAGACAATCGTTTATTTTTAGCAAACACAAATTTTAAGCATAAGGAGAGACATCGTCTAACATGGCGACCCCCTACACCAAACCAACGATGGACTCAAATAGACCATATTGCCATCAGTCATCGTTGGAGAGGGTCGGTAGAAGATTGTCGCTCATTCTGGAGTACCTGCTTGGACTCCGACCATGCCCTAATACGGGCACGCATCTGCTTGCGCCTCACTGGACGCAAAAAAGCCACATTAAAAAGACCCATTAGAACTGAGTTGAGTAACGAGAAAACCAAAAGTAGGTTCCAGGAACAACTGAGGTCACACTTAGGTAGTTCTGAAAACGAGGCTGACCCAGATGTTGCTTGGAAAGACATACAAGCAGCTGTGGAAACAGCAGTGACATCTATTAGTGACTTAAACCACAGAGTTACAAAAACCAGTGGATTTCTTCAAGGTCTATTGCACTGATGGATTCTCGCAAACTCGTCCCATCAGGTTCTGAACATGATGAAGAGCGTAAACAAATCAGATCTAGGTTAAGAAAAAGTCTAAGGAACGACCGTGAGCAGTGGTGGGTAACGAAAGCAAAAGAGATGGAAAAGGCGGCGACTATAGGGAACACAAGACAGCTTTACAGACTAATAAAAGAAACTGGAATTAATAAGTCAAGTGTAAGTGAGATTATTTCGGAAAAAGAATACTCTCATCTGCTCCCAGTCCAGACGTTTAGAACGATGGGCGGAACATTTTAGAGAACAGTTCAGCTGGCCTTCAGCTACTCTACAACTACCCTCCATTCCCAGACAGTGTGAATGGAACATTGAAGTAGGTCCCCCAACTCTTGCTGAAGTTCAAAAGGCTATAGTTAATCTGAAACGAGGAAGGGCAGCTGGTCCAGATGGATTGGCTCCAGAGGTCTTTAAGGATGGTGGTCCAATTTTAGCGATTAGGTTGACTAATATTTTAGCTAAGATCTGGGAATAGACGTTATCCCATCTGACTGGTCACAATCACTTATCGTCCCAATATATAAGAAAGGGTCAAAATCATCCTGTGACAACCACAGAGGGATTAGTTTAACCAATATAGTATCTAAAATACTAGCCTCGATAATTATCGACGCCTAACTAAGACTCGTGAACTGCAAACACGAGAGAATCAAGCTGGCTTCAGACCTGGTCGTGGCTGCATCGACCACATATTCACCATTCGTCAGGTTCTAGAACACAGGCATACTTATCGGCGTCCGACAATGGTGGTCTTTCTTGACTTAAAAGCAGCATTTGACTCTGTAGACCGCGAGGTTTTGTGGCAGTGTCTGTCATTGAAAGGCGTACCTCAGAAGTACATAAACCTTGTGAAGGCTCTTTACTCGAACACTACTAGTCGAGTCAGAGCTTATGGCGAACTGTCATCTACTTTTGCAACCTCAAGTGGTGTCCGTCAAGGCTGTCCACTTTCTCCATTTTTGTTTAACTTCATCATAGACCTACTGATGGAAATAACATTCTCGTCGACTGAATTCTCGGGTATTGATCTCCTTCCAGGAGGTCCACTTATCGACTTAGAATACGCAGATGACATAGTCCTGTTTGGTGAAGACGCTGACAAAATGCAGAGTCTTCTGGTAGCACTAAGCAACAATGCCAGAATGTTTGGAATGCGCTTCTCTCCCTCTAAATGCAAGTTGTTGCTTCAGGACTGGTCTGCGTCAACACCTGAACTAAGGATAGGGAGTGAAGTAGTCGAACGCGTTGACAACTTCACTTATCTTGGAAGTCTGATCAGCCCTAATGGGTTGGTGTCTGACGAAATCTCAGCACGGATTCGAAAAGCTCGTTTGGGTTTTGCCAACTTACGTCACCTATGGCGAAGGCGAGGTATCCGTCTATCAATAAAAGGACAAGTATACTGCGCAGCGGTTTGTTCTGTTCTACTTCACGGCAGCGAAACGTGGCCATTGAGAGTAGGAGTTACTAGTAAGTTACTAGTATTTGACCACAGATGTCTTAGGAATCTTGCCAGCATCTGCTGGGATCAGCGGGTAAGTAATAGTGAGGTTAGAGGCAGGGTATTAGGGAATGATGGTAAATCAGTTGGTGAGGTTGTGAATCTTCATCGACTGAGATGATTGGGCCACGTGTTGTGTATGCCTGAACACCGATTACCACGACATGCAATGCTAACCGGTGTTGGAGATGGTTGTAAGAAAGTTAGGGGCGGCCAAACAAAACGTGACATCAGTGCTTGAAGACATTAACTTCTAGTCTGAGCCATGTTGGTAGATGCAGATTACTTGGTTGGGGTCCACGTGACTATCGTAACCAATGGTTGGAGACACTTGGTGACATGGCTCAGAATTGATCACAATGGCGTAGGTGTATACACTGTCTGTTTTCCCTTAAACTAAGAGATTAAGATCACTTCATATCTTTCTTTCTACAAACTAATTATTTCTTCCTGTACTATATCCGTATGTGCAATCTTTCATTCATGTATAACCACCTCTGAATTAACTACTTTTATGAATCCGGTGTCCATCCTGTTGTGTTAATGAGGTATGGCAACTTGGACCGATGCACATATGTGCCTGGTCCTACGTTGTAGCTGACTGTATTTCGTCCATTTAGCATGGTGCATACGGGCTCCAGTATCCTGAGGGAACAAATGGCGTGTGAACCAAGTATTGGTCATGGGCTACCATGGGACTGCATCTCCTGACGTTGCTCCACTGCCTTGTGGGTCAGACCTTCAGGTCAAAGGCTCAGAGTGTGACCCCCTAAGAAAACCACCCGCTTCGGTTTGGGCACCCGAGCAGCATCACAGCCCACACACAAATAAAATGAAAATGACGATATTTACTGAAAATTCTATTCACGCTTCGATTAGCAGTTAAACAATTATTATTATTATTATTATTCGGAACGTCACTTATTCACTCTCTTTTATTCCCACCTTGTGTATGCTTACTTTTTGACCTATACAGCAGCTCGCTTATGGTGGAAACTCGGTTCTATCTAAACGTTCTCGAGTCACTGCCGGGTTGAAAATTGTATGCTACCACCAAATACGAATACTGAAGCAGTTTTTCTGAAACCACGTGCACCATTCAAAATGGCTGCCTTCAACGTTCGCACACTTATGCAGGTCGTACAACACATAGGGCTGGCTATGTCTTTAGAGAGTCTTAATATAGACGTCTGTTGTCTATCCGAGACCCGTATTCAAGACTCCGGTGAAGTACTACAAATTCGCTCTCCATCTGTCGCTTCAAAAAGCTTGTTTTACGTGCGTTTATCCGGGGACCCTGTGGTATTTTCTTCTTGTCTTGCTGGCGTTGGTGTCTCACTAAGCGCTAGAGCTGAGGCAGAACTAATCTATTGGATCCCTATTAACAGTCGGCTATGTGCTGTTAGATTAGAAATTTCCATCGAAGTGAGAAGAAATCGGTGTGAGAAACAATGTATTTTCGCCATCTGACATTTAGTGGCAACACCATGTTAGTAATGCAGAGGTTCGGCATCGTATGTTCGGTCACAGAGACGATAATGCAATTGGTGTCACCATCTTGAAACACCGACTTCGGTGGCTTGGACATGTTCTACGAATGTCGTCCCAGAGAATTCCACGTCGTGCATTATTTGCCGACTCTGGGACTGGTTGGAAGAAGCGGAGAGGTGGTCAGTGCATGACATGGTGTCGTGGTATGAAAGAAAACTGCAAAGGACTGGCTTCTGTCGGTCCTTCACGGCTCCCTGGTTGGGGTCCAAGAGATGGTGCAATACAGTGGCTAGAGACGTTATCAGATATGTCTCAGAATAGAAGCCAGTGGCGATCCTGCTGTAACCTTTTTTACTTTATTCATAAAAAAGTGGTTGTATCTTCTTTAACCGAGAGATTTCTTCTGGTTTTACCTTTCCGTCTCCTTCATTATTATTATTTTTATTTTTATTATCATTATTACACTACCTTACACTAATCTGGTCGTTATTGTTCTTTTTTTCCTTTACGCTCCTTACGTTCCTTTTTTTCTCTTCCCGTTCTCATTGTTTTGTGTGGCGCATATATCTTTGGTGCCTCCTTGTACCAATATTTATGTGTTCAAATAAATAAATAAAAACTAAGCTTTCGGAAGTCTTAATCAACCACTCCAGTCATTGTTTAACACTTCTCAAAAGTCGATTTTGTTGTACTCTTTCCTACGACACTAGCAATAAATCCAATAACTCTGTTATTATTTTCGTTGCATGATCGGCAGGCTATTCAAGTCCCATGTCATCAAACCTCTGATTGAAGTACTAGAAGGCCAGCTAGATAGTCAAAAATACTTATATTATTTCGGATATATAAGCATAATACAAGACCACAACTTATCACAGTTTATCTACCGAGATTGGTATATAACTAAGTTGTTTTTGATATTATCCCGAATATCATGTTTAAAGTTGTAAGTTCTGGACGATAAAATATGTAGAAGCAATGGGTCAGTCGAAATTGAACTTACTGTTAGAACTATTTTAGAAGTAGTACAGAAGAACTGTTAATACCCTATACAACCGTACAAACTAATTCATCAAGAGTAGCTACCAGAGTTTTATATTTCCATCTCTTTGCCTTTTGCTAACGGGTCATTATCCTCGATGAATCGAAATCCTCTGAATAACACCTAATAACCTAAAGTTATTCACAGTCTCATTCTAATATCACTAATCAATACTTATTCATGTTCCTAAGTGTAATCAATTAGCTTCTGTGTTTGATAAGTATTCGCATTGTTATATGACATATGTTTTGCTTATTTGGATTATAACAATCAAAATTTCCACTTGTTTATTTTGATCTTTTCCAGAGTTGAAGTTGGCTGAAACAGCAAAATCACTGTATGAAAAAGTTAAGGTAAATTCCTTTGAAAAGAGAAATATTTTGTGTACTCTAAGCAATATTTTGGATACGCGGAGTAATTGTTGATATTTGTGTTTTTATGCATATAATTTTCCATTTCCCGTATTTACTGTAATGAGCTTTGAAAATTCCATTTACATTTGGCCACTCTTGATTTGTTTATTTTTCTGTAGGTTGATTAATTTACTACAGATGTTTACAGGCCTAGCTAAATAGTTTATGTATGTAGAACAGCTACTTGAATTTCTTTCAGGTTGAGAATTGAAGTAATGCTATAATCGTTATCTCGATTCATGTAAGGCATTGTGGTTTTCTTAGTTATGGTTTGTAAACCAATAAAAAACAAATAGATAAGAAGGTATTAGAGCTCAAAATGAGTTGTCATTGTATCACAAACGTATTTTTAATCTTTTGCCTTTAAATTGTAACTATCATTGTCACAACTCTTTATCTTGGCCTGCTTTCTGTATTCTTAATTCCCGATTCATTTGTTCATTTGAAATTGGTCTCAAAAGTATGATATATTAGGCAATCGAAACTGCCACGTTAAACCATCGGCTACAGTCACAATTTACATGTTTATAGTTATTAAAAATAGTGTTCAAACGATGAAAATAGACAGGTGTGGATTTTCGACGCGTAACATACGGTAAGAAGTACTTTAGTTCTATCTATCAAATCAGCTCAGGAAAAATAAGTTCACTAATTTCGTTTCCCCACCAGAGTATTCATTTAGTAAGGTTTCCTATTGTTTATTTTAATATTTGTCTATACTGCTACATACTGAGTGACAATGTGAGATTATACACTGTTATCCCTATCTGTGGGAAAGGTAGATTTTTGCTAATATATCAATATTTCTGCTTAATTTAGGGTTCTAATCCGGAGAGATTGGTTGCAGGATCCGATGACAATACACTTTCTTTATGGCAACCAGAAATTGATAAAAAACCACTTGCTCCCCGAATGACTGGTCATCAAGGAGTTGTGAACGATGTGAAGTTCTCTCCAAATGGTCGTCTTCTTGCTAGTGCTAGTTTTGATCATTCTGTCAAAATTTGGGATGGTTTTACAGGACAGTAAGTATTTTTTTGATACAATCATTGTTAAATAAAATCTTGAAATGTGTATAGTTGGGAAATGGTAACCACAATCCAAGTATCTCATTTATTTGAATGTAGGTAAGGAATACTCAACTTTTTTTAGTTAGAATGGGCTTAAACTCATAAATGCCTGGTCAGACCTCCAATTCTACAACAAATGTACTACATTTAGAATTGTCATCTATAAGCGACCACTGATCTTGTTGTGCTCATGTGGTGTGATAATTTGAACTTTTAGACATTCTTTGTTCTAAGCTAGTTTTGACTGGCTTACACTGTTTATAAATGGGAAATCCACAGACTCATTCAGTTTATAACATTGTAATATCGAATGAAGAATGGTTTGTTTAAGTTTGCATAATTTTATTCATCAAGATTCGTTGATCAGTATCCTTGAAATCATGAAACTGAATAGTTTATGATGTTATTTGATACCGTCGAAAACAAAATCTATTGGCGGCCCTACTCTGTTGTGTTTTTAATAAATACTCGGATGATCAAAATACATCCAGATTGTATTTTTATCAATATTGTACCGTTCAATATTGAATCATATGTTTCTTTCTGCTGTATTTTCTCACGTCAAGTTAGTTTTTATCATAGGCTGAGCATATGATCCAATTTAATCTATTATTACCTTCAATATATGATTATCGTATTATCATATCATATTTTAGATTTTTAGCTACTATGTTTGGTCATGTTCAAGATGTGTATCTAGTCTCTTGGTCAAGTGACAGTCGTCTAGTTGTATCTTGTTCTAAAGATTCAACAGTGAAAGTATGGTCTATTAATGAAGTTCGTCGCTGGAATCAAGAATCTGTCACAGTATCTAAAGAAGAAAAGAAAAAACAAATATTTGCTAGTGATATAACCGGTAAAAAACGACCCAGTTCATTGTCGTCATCAGTACATCAACGTAAACGTCATTTGTTACATGATTTACCTGGGCATTCAGATGCAGTTTATGCATTAGACTGGAGCCCTGATGGACAATATGTTGTTTCAGGCGGTAAAGACCGAATATTGAAATTGTGAGTTTTAATTGTCAATACGTTTTTGCAATGAAAATTGAAAGAAATAGTGTATTTAATGTATAGTTTTCATATTTCCTACATGATTTCATCGTTTACCACAGTACAATTGGGAAATGGATATGACATAACATAATGTAGCTTAAGATTGAGAGAAATATGAAGATGAATATATATGTGCAGCAACGAAGTTGATTTTAATCAAGATGAAATAATTTCTAACATGAATTATACCACGAATCGTAACTAGGACTACTGTACTTTTTAAAGTAAATCAGTTCAACTATAAATGATTATATGGAATAATGCTATAGTTAAAACATAACATCTTGATAACAGAACTAAGCTCATGATTTATTCATTAACTTAAAATTCTGGTGTTTATTTCCATTAGTGACTTGAAACCATAATTTTATAAATCTACATGCTGAATCCAACATCTCACTTCTTACTTACTTACTTACGCCTGTTACTCCTCGTGAAGGAGCGTAGGCCGCTCACCAGCATTCTCCAACCAACCCTGTCCTGGCCAATCATTTCCAGCTTCTTCCAGTTGTTATTCATCCTTTTCATATCTGATTCTATTTCCCAACATAATGTCTTCTTTGACCTTCCACTTTTCCGCTTCCCTTCTGGATTCCAAGTTAGGGCTTGCCTCGTGATGCAGTTTGGTGATTTGCATAATGTATGTCCTATCCATTCCCATCGTCTTTTACTAATTTCTTGTTCAGCTGGAAGCTAGTTTGTTCTCTCCCACAAAAGGCTGTTGATGATGGTATCCGGCCAATGGATGTTGAGTATCTTGCGAAGACAGCTATTTATAAATACTTGTACTTTCTTGATGGTGGTTGTTGTAGTTCTCCAATTTTCAGCTCCATACAGTAGAACTGCCTTGACGTTCGTATTGAAGATTCTCACTTTGATATTGGTTGAAAGTTGTTTTGAGTTCCATATGTTCTTCAATTGTAGGAATGCGACCCTTGCTATGCCGAATCCTCGCCTTAACGTCTGCATTTGAACCTCCTTGTTCATCGATGATGCTTCCCAGGTATGTGAAGGCTTCTACATCTTCCAGAGTTTCGCCATCAAGAGTGATTGGATCGGTGTTCTCCGTGTTGTATTTGAGGACCTTGGTTTTCCCCTTGTGTATGTTGAGGCTTACTGATGCAAAGGCTGCTGCTACACGAGTTGTCTTTATCTGCATTTGTCCGTGTGTATGCGATAGGGGGGCTAGGTCATCTTCGAAGTCAGAATCGTCGGATTGATTCTGAATTGTCCATTGTATTCCCTGTTTTCCTCCAGAAGTCGAGGTCTTCATATTCCAGTCAACCACTAAAAGAAAGAGGAAGGGGAAGAGTAGACAGCCTCGTCTGACTCAGGTCCTTACTTAGAATGCATCTATTGGCTTTCCTCCATGCACGACCTTGCACTGTAGTCCGCTGTATGAGTTCCGGATAATGTTGACAACCTCCTCAGGAACTCCATATTGCCGAAGAAGTTTCCATAATATTGTCCTGTCCACATTGTCAAACGCCTTTTCATAACCAATGAAGTTGATGTACAGTGACGAGTTCCACCCAACTGATTGTTCGACGCTGATCCGTAGTGTTGCATTTCGGTCTGTGCACGACCGACCCTTGCGGAATCCAGCCTGTTGATCTCGAAGTCGGGCGTCTACTGCGTCTTTCATCCGGTTCAGCAACACTCTGTTAAAGACTTTCTCTGGTACTGAAAGTAGTGTAATGCCTCTGTAGTTTTCACATTTTCTCAGATCTCCTTTCTTTGGAATCTTGATGAGGTGTCCTTTTCAGTTCGTTGGCACGTGTTTCTCCTCCCAAATCTTCTTAAACCGACGGTCAAACATGTTTGTAGTTACTTCGATGTCTGACTTCAGTGCTTCAGCTGGCATATTGTCAGGTCCTGCTGCTCCCACGCTCTTGATTTGTCTGATGGTCATTCTGATTTCTTCCATCGTTGGTGGATTAACATCTATATGAAGATCTGTGTGTGCTGCTTCGATGTCCGGTGGATTCACTGGAGCCGGCCTATTCAGGAGTTCCTCAAAGTATTCTATCCATCTGTTCCGTTGTTGTTGAATTTCAGTGATTAGCCTGCCTTCTTTGTCCTTGACCGGTCTCTCTGGTTTACTATATTTCCCTGCTAGTTTCTTCGTTGTATCATATAGTTGTTTCATATTTCCTTCTCTTGCAGCTTTTTCCGCCGTCGTTGCTAGTTCTTCCACGTATTTCTTCTTGTTGTCTCTAATTCTCTTCTTCACTTTCTTGTTTGCTTCTATGTACTCAGCTTGTGCTTGGACTTTCTCTGCTCGTGTTCGGCTGTTGTTAATTGCTGTCTTCTTGTTCTTCCTTTCTTTGATCCTATCCAGTGTTTCCGTAGAGATCCATTCCTTATGACGATGCTTCTTGAGGCCCAGAACCTCTTGACATTTTGAAGTTAATGCTTCTTTGATACCATTACAGTTGTCCTCCATAGTGGTTTCTTCTTCCTTCAGTAGATCCTGTAAGGCTTAGAACCTGTTGTTGGGAGATAACTTAAATTCGTTGAATTTGTTAGTACCTCGAAGGAAGGCTGTATTGAACCTTTGTAGTGCTGTTTGTCCACTTGTCCAGTTCTTCTTTAGCTTCAGTTTTAAATTGGCCATAACTAGGTGGTGGTCTGAAGCTATATCAGCTCTTCTCTTGGTTCTCACATCTTCAATTGTCCTTCGGAATTTTTTATTGATACAAATATGATCTATCTGGTTCTCTGTGGTGTGGTCCGTTTAGATCCATGTAGCTTTGTGTATACGTTTGCGTGGAAATATTGTGCCTCCTATGACCAATTTGTTGAATGCACACAGATTTGCAAATCTCTCCCCATTTTCGTTTCTCTCTGCCAGTCCATTTCGTCCCATGATATCTTCATATCCGGTGTTGTCTATTTCGACTTTGGCGTTTAGATCTCCCATCAGAATGTTGAGGTCCTTTCTTGGGCACTTCTCTATGATTGATTGCAGCCGCCCATAGAATTGATCTTTAGTGTCGTCGTTGCTATCATTGGTGGGTGCATAACATTAGATAAAATTAATTGTGATTCCCTCCTTTGTTTTGAATGATGCTTTGATGATTCTGGATCCGTGAGATTCCCATCCTACAAGTGCATTTCGTGCTACTTTGGACAGCATTAGAGCAACTCCCTGCGTATGTGGAGCATTTTCTTCTTTTCGTGGCCGGAGTGTAGCAGTATCTTTCCCGTATTTAGCCTTTGTTGTCCAGCTTGGGTCCAATGGGTTTCGCTGATTCCCAGTACTGCCAAATTGTATCTCCTCATTTCCGTTGCTATTTGACTGGTCTTCCCGGTCTCCCATATTGTCCGGACGTTTCATGTACCTATAGAATTGTTGATCTGGTTGTTAGAAGGGGCATCGGCCTCGTGAATTCTGAAGGAACTCGGCTTATACCATGAGAAGTCATAGTTCTTCTAAATGAAGACCTTCTAACTCCGAGGGCAGAGTTTAAACGGTTTGAATTAATTTTTCTGGTTAGCGTTTTCTTAGCGAGTCATTTTTCTACGGGATGGGGTCGCTAACCCCATACTCAACCCTCCTGCTTTACCCTGGCTTGGGACCGGCAGTAACCTTCGAAGAGCTACAGGTGGAGTTAGGAATGCTGTCCTTGCCTTAATATATGCATCTGATCCTCCTTGTTAATAGATTATGCTGTCCAGCTACATGGAAGTTTCCACTTCTTCCAGAGCTTCTCCACCAAGTGTGATTGGGTTGGTGCTCACTTTGTTGTATCCAAGGATCTTACTTTTTCCGTTGTGTATGTTGGAGCCTACTGATGCAGAGGCTGTAATAAGAATGTGTGAGATAACAATTCTTCACAGTTTTATGCTATGTGTTGTTTACTGATATTTGTACAGCTTGGTGAAATCTAAGTTACTGAAATGGGGGAAGAAATTATGTTGAATCATCTGTTCATATTGCTGAGTGTAGTTTATTTATCTATTATCGTGTTAAACCATTCACGAAATCGTACTAATCTGGTAAAAAACTATGTACTTTACAAGCATATTTTATCTACTAAGGTTGTGATAATCGTTTTCATTCGATTCTAAATAAATGCACCCAAAGGGTCACTTTAGCTGTGAATTTTTACATTTCATTAGATTTTTTAAAATATTTCGTTCAATCTCATAGAAATAGTAGTCAGTGGTATTTTTCATAAACGCAGTTTTATGTAAATGTTAATACCTCCCGTTTCAGAATGATTATTATCAATAGCCATCGTTTGTATAAAACTGAAGCATCTCATTACTGAGATCAGTTAGTGGTTATGCTTTTCAAAAAGTTCCATTTAATTGCGGTAAACATCTATAATTTTGTAGTTTACATCACTAACCGAAGACCGGAAAGCATTGAACAGCTTTCCGTCCTAGTACGAAACTCCTCAGCATTACATATCCACTATCACACTAAGGGTCAAATCCATGACCTACCGGTGTAACAACAAGCGCTTAACTCTGAGGCCAGTGTTCTTAGATTCAATGACTCACATCTCATAGATGCGCACTGCTGAGAAGTCTCATGATAAGATGAAACAGTTGTTGAATGATTTGTGGCTTTTCAATAGTTTCTTTTTAACTATTGTTGGTCTGTGATGTGAACTATCAAATTAATCTCCCTAAATATCATACAGTTGGTTACCTTAATTAACGGGGAATATTTTCGATTTTCGTTTTTGTTTCCCCCTACCTTCAATAATTCACTTTTTTTTCTTTCTGTTTCAGATGGCGAGCGTGAAAACGTATCAGAACATTATTTTATATGCCTTACAACTATCATCGAAAATTTAATTTTTGCCACCATGCTGATGGTAATTTTCTAAAATAATTTTTCCCTATTTGTAGATATAAACATGTATATGGAAAGAATTAATAATTAAAATATATTACAGTGGATAACAGTTATGTGTTTTTCTCTTCATTAATATTTTTCAAAAACAAATTTATACATTATCTCTATCAGAGAATTGTTTCTGTACACTTAATTTTCAGTGATAAATTACATGATCAGAAGGGGTTTTGTGGAGATTTTGGAAATTTTAATAGTTGAAATCATGGGTCAATTGAAGCAAGACCACCATGGAAAACCTGGAAGCACTGGACGGCCGTTTCGTCCTAGTCTGGGACTCCTCAGCAGTGTGCATCCACGATCCCGCCCCCCCCCGCAAGATTCGAAACCAGGACCTATCCGTTTCGCGCGCGAGCGCTTAACCACTAGGCCACTGAGCTGTTATCCAACGGTTTTAATGTCTAACTTTAACCAATCTACGAAATCGCGCCATACTAGGACGAAACGGCCGTCCAGTGCTTCCAGGTTTTCCATAGTGGTCTAGCTTCAATCGACTCATGATCTCAACTACAAATTACATGCTCAGCTTATTTGACCATGATTTAGGTGTGGCCCCTAAATGCCCTAGAAAGGCCGAGAGTGGGCAGAGTCAGCTTCCTCTCTCGAAATGCCTTCATATGGCCACATACATACAACCACTGCCAGGGAAGTCATACTCACTGTATTTTCGCGGCGAGGGTATCATTTACAAAATTGAGAGGACGATCAGCGAATGTCCGGCGCTTTAACAGGGTTGATGGACACGGAGGGTTTGCTTAGGGGAGTTAGAAACTCTTGATTCCAAACCAATGTGGCACATGGGCTCCAGTATCCTGAAGGAACAAATGACGTATGAACCAAGTATTGGTCACGGGCTACCATGGGACTGCATCTCCTGACGTTGCTCCACTGCCCTGCAGATTAGACCTTTAGGTCGAAGGCTCCGGGTATGGCCCCCTAAGAAAACCACCTGTTTAGGTTTGGGCACTCAGATAGTATAGCAGCCTTCACATAAATTGAGTGATTTATGTGGCGCACATCTATTTGGTGCCTCGTTGTACCAATGTTTATGTGTTTAAATAAACAAATGATTTAGATGTAAGTGTATGTTTGTGCGTATGTGAGGCTAATTACATTATTTACCATACAAGAACATTACTATCTAAAAGTTTTATTGAGCTACAAGAATTTGATAGACTTTAATGGGAAAATAATCCACTTTTAATTAAAATGAATAAGAATCAACATTGAGTTAAATGTATACCAAAGTTTAACAGTTATTTTCGTTTAAGTTGTTTTAATCTTAAAAGAATGTCTCAGAGATCCAATGGTACATTTATGATTTTATGTTCAACGAAATGAGTTATAATCAATGTAAAACTTGGCATAATTGTTTGTTAATCCAAATTACCAAACTACATTAACACAAACAGGTGAAACTAACAAGAAGAATAGTGAAATTGATCGTGATAATGTATTAGGAATCACAATAAGATAGAATACATATTAAAATATGGTTTGAAAAGATGAAATAAAAAGCATGTGCAAAAGAATGTTTTACCTTAATATCTAAATTAAGATAACAAGTGAGTACTTTTGTTAAAAATATGCTTTAGTTAATGCCATATATAATGGACATCATGAAACAAATGTTAAATGCTACTCGTTTCAGTGCTGAATTCACGAGACTTGAGTAAATTAACTAGTTAACTATCTAGATGTATAATTACTTCTCTTTCAACAACTTAAAAATAAGATGGCTTTGTACGGATCTTCATAAATCTACCGAATAATAGTATCGTATTCAGTACAGTATCGGGGGATCTTAGATTTAACGTCTTGGGGACTTGTGGGTGTTGTTTACTGTTGAGAAATTGTCTAAAAGTGTGAAGTAACTATTTGCTGTTGTCTGGGTATAGGTGCTTCAAAGCTGAACTTATTTTCAAAATATGTTGTCACTAAATAACTATTTTGCTTCGACTTATGCTTCGTTCTTATTGATTGTTAACCGTCGTCATTTTATCGGATTATTCAAACTTTATCAAAGGGAATAATTGTTTTTAATGTGAGGTAAATCTTTTTTTTGGCACGGCTTTCAAGAAGCACTACGAAGCCTCCAAAGGCTCTGAAGGAGCGGAATAGATTCCACTCAATCAGCACCTGATAGAACTTTCTAAAAGGTCAACGTGGCATGCTACGACTGGACGATAGTATAACTCGCCCCCTTGCGGATCGGCTGAATCTTAATGGTGTTATAACCAACGCTAATAACTATAAATATCCATGTTTTTCTGTACATTTTTAGTTCTTACTCAATGATCACTTCCCCTGCTTCTTCCATCTTCTGACTTGCGACTGTGGGGTTCTACACTTTCAAGTGCCGTTAGTTATATATCGTATTCGGCCGTAATCAAGTAGAGCACATAACACTTTTTTAGTTCATTCACTGGCCAGTTAAATTAAGACCTGAATATCGGGTATGTTTTTTGTCTACTGGTTTCATTTGGTATCGCAGAATCAGTTGCTAAGCTTTTATATTGTCGAAAACCACGCGAAGGAATTTCAAATTTTTTTATACTCAATACGAAAGAAGACACCAATCCGCAATCTTATATGTTAATATCCTTCTCTTCTCAAAGTCACTGCGAAGATAATGATTATGTTAACCATTTTGAAAGTTTCACTTCGAAAGCATTATCTCACGTATCAGTTCACTTTATTTTTTTCTTACTGAACTTGCTGGGGAGATCCATAAAACTCGAAAAAAGCTAGAAAAGGCTATGATAACACAGAAGCATTTTATTCAACCTGTATTCACTAGATGTTTTGCCAGAAACATCTAGAAAGTGAAAAGCCACATGTCGAGTCCCTGATTTGGTGATTGCCTATATTGCTACTATGTTTTAGTAGCGTTCCAGAATTTTCCGGAAACCTGAGGCCATCTAAAGTACTATGAAAACCCTAGGATTTCTGCACATAAACGAACCTTTGGAGTAAAGAGTTTCTTCCATATTTCGCGCCTTTTCTCTTGTGTTCAGGTCGCTGTGTAGATTTAGCCTGGCGTTTACTAGAAATGCTTAGGAACCGAACCTAGCATTTAGTTAGGATTATCAGAAATTCTCACAGTCGAGGGGGGGTCTGTTCTCGAAGTTTTTCTTTATAGCTAATACCAAGGATGTCCTACTGACTTCATTATCAGCGTAAAGGTGTTGTTCACCGGTGTGAAAACGCAAAGCAAACATCTAATGGTTTGACAGTTTTGGTGGGTACGGTGGGAAGTTAGAAAACCCTGATTCCGAACCAATGGTCTCTAGGATCCTAAGAAAATGAAAGGCGTATAATAGTATTTCATCCACTAGTTATCATGATACAACATCTGACGTTGCCTTATAGATTAGGCCTTTTGGTCAAGACTTGGGAACTGTCCCTTGACAGAGATATCTACTTCTGTTTAGGAGTTCGAGTAATATCCATACCCCACTTATAAATATGACAGTTATGAAGAGAATACTATACACCTATCGATTATAAGCTAAGTTTTATGTTCGACATAATGAATTCTTTGTTTTTTTTTTCTTTCCCAAACACCTTCAAAATGATAATAAGTAGTGAATGAAATAATTCATACTTACAAATTTATCTTAATTCATTGTCTTTTTTTTAATCTTTTCTTTATAAGAAAAATAGTCATAGACAAATGAATTATTCTATTTATAAATAAATTAAAGATATGAACCAAGTTGATCATTGAAATAACAAAAAACTTATCTAACTTGATGAGTAAATAAAAGGAAGATAATTTAATCAGAAAATAAATGACATTAGAAGAGGAAGAAAACTTTTGTGATTAAGGAGAACGACAACTAATAGATAGATAGATATGAAATATATTCAGTTCATTTGAGGGTATTTTTATGTAATAATGACTATGTATATTTGTGTGTGTGTGTGTGTATCTGTTCATATTCATGATTGTTGTTATCAGTAAAATATAGACATAACTGTTTATTCACTAATAACAATTATCATCATTCCTATCAATTTATTATTCATATAGTGGAAAATTAATTATTGGAAAAAGCGGTAAAATAATTGTCCATTGAATGGAAATGTCTATATTGTGATTATGGAAATGATAAGCTAATTCTTTATTGCCTATCTTTTTGAGTGTGTGCGCATGCATTTTTGTTTTATTTTAACCTCTTTTCTATTTCTGTTCTTCGTGAAGTGTTCAAATGTTGACAGAAATGATGAAGTAGCGGATAATTGTAATAATTATTTATCATTCTTTTTTTTGGGGGGGGAAGGGAAATGAATTTTCAAGACGATTAACTTATAAAGAGATTATATATATATATATATTGCTTATTAGAGATTAGTTTTATTTTAAACCTCTCCTTGAATATCCTTTACATTTTGTGTATATAAGAAACCGGTTAATAAGAATAATACACAAAATGGAGATTAATCATTTCCTTTTGTTATATCTATTCACAATTCGCAGAATAGATTATCATTGTGAATTTGTATTCAATAGAAAGTTATAAGTTAGTGAATGTTTAGGGAAAATGTATTTGTTTGACTAAAATGATAGGCGTGTGTGTATATGAATTTTGAAAGATAATCAACAATGTATTTAATGAACTGTATGCTCTAGAATAGATCAAGCACTTTGACAAAGATATATCTATATGGTAGGGTCTAGGATTGAAATGAGGATATTCAAATATTAGAATCAACTTTGGTATTTCGGGACTTCATGTATTTATTATGAATTATTCTAGTTTTGGATATTTAATATTGTAAAGTTTTGCGATCCTAAGGCATATTAGCAAAAATTAAACGTTTTATGAGAATAACAGTATCAAAAGGGGTTTTGTGGAGATTGTAGTAATTTCAATAGTTGAGATCATGAGTCAATTGAAGCTAAACCACCAGGGAAAACCTGGAAGCACTGCAAGTCCGTTTCGTTCTATTATGGGACTCCTCAGCACTGCTGAGGTCTAGCTTCAATTGAATCATGATCTCAACCATTGAAACTACTACAATCTCCACAAAACGCTTTTTAATACT